TCCATTTTTAGATGACTCACCTAGTATATAATTTTTTATTGTAATATAATATGTAATGTATACTACAGTCAAAAAAATGGGAACATCAAATTTTATATTCAAGATTTTAAAACGTATGCAAATGAGGCTGTTTTCGGGACTAGATTCTATAACTTGAAAAATATAAGTAATACAAAAAAATATTTTAGACAACAGTTATAAGGTATAAAGCTAAATATACGGTGATTGTATTATTTGTGTGACCTTGTAGTAACCTTGAAATAATCTCTAAAGGTCACTACTAATATTTTAAGGAAAACTTATATCTTTGATTTTGTACTCTTGTATACAGCCGACGATGAGACGTTTTCAAAACACTACACTTATATTAGCTTCTCGTGAACCGTCATCGAGATATAAACTTTTTTTTCTCTTTTACCACTACTTCCTAGTTTACTATTCATTTTGAAACATGCCTATATAATTCTTTTTTAGCAGTAAAAACATTGGTTCTTCTAATTGCGTTCATTAGACGACGTATTGTGTGTCGTATCACTACTTTGCAAAGTATATGTTAACAAATTGACAGTAATTTAGATTGTCTTATATTTTTAACTTAAAAGGCGTACATGAAAGCGTTTTTCCGCATGCACTTACTGTAATCAGGCGGAATGCACTTGTTGAGCAACATCATGACGAAATAAGAAGTAATAGCGATACAAAAAATTGGGACGCCATTAATAGCTACCTATGAATGTTATAGTTTCGTAGTTCTTCTATTGTTCAGTTATTCTTCTTATCTTCAAGGCGAAGAATTTTGAGTGTACTTAGCTTCCTACCTTATTGAAAATTTATTTGGAGTTACTTCATTTGTTTATTAACGACTTAAAGCATTATATTTAATTATACTAGCCAATAAAATCAGCGATATAATTAATACATAGGAATTATTTATATACATATTAAGAATAAAAAAATATTTATTCTCTATGCGTTTAAGAAATAAAATAGAAAAGTTAGGTATTTGAAGAGTCGTTTTTCCAGTCACTATTTGATACACAAATTATTTGATAAACGTGTTCTAAATATTTTGTAAATGTATAAAAATAATTATCAACTTAATATTTTACATGAATGCAGTTAAATTTTTCTTTCTTTTATTTGAATATGAATTATAAAATTATGTACGTTTAACGTGTAAATAACGTATGCAACAGCTTATCCGATTAAATACTTTTTACCTGCGATTGTTTGTGTCCCTGAATTGCATACGTCATTATATTTTACTACTATGATACGTTAAGAAATTAATTTAGTCGAGGAAGAAAACATAATGATTTTTGTATCTCATAATTATTTATAGAGTAATTAAGTTACATAAAAACACCCCATACCTCATTGTAAATTCTAAATAGCAGCATTCTGTGTTCAGTTAATTGCTTATTTTCAAACTGTGAAACTTCATAAGATGACTTGCAAATTTGTATTAGAGATGTGACTGTTTTATTTCGTTGTCAGATTAAACATATTTGTTTGATATCAGATAACAAATATAATAATAATAGATTGATTTCTCAACTATTTTGGAACATTTAATTTATAATAATGTCTTTAATTAAAACTATTAATCCTAAAAAAACCAAAGAGAAGAGCTTCTTAAGCCAAATACTTTTGAAATATTAAAAATATATCTTTCTTCGTTACAATATTTAAACATTATTATTTGTTTTCGCGTATACCTCCAAAATTAGTACTAAAAATTCGAATTTTGTTTAACAAAGATATTGTTTCTAAAAAGAAGTCACTGAATAGCAACGTATGTAAAATAGATATGTTAAAGTTTCAAGGTTCTTGGTTTATAAAATAAATGACGGCAATAGTGATTGTGTTGACATTGAGAATATACGATGCAGTAATAGAAAGTAGTCATGACAATAATATCAAAAGAATTAAAAATATTTTTATGATAGGCAGCAGTAATAAAGTACCAAATAAATGTTAGTTTTCTATTTTGCTCAAATGGAAGTAATCTGAACTGTAATAAAAATCCTGTAATTGCAGAAAACATGTTCGTGACTGTTGTCGTTGCTTTTCTAACACATGAAATCATAATTACAATTAACATTTCATTTGCAACATCAATCACATACAGATGACATGATTTTGATTAATTGATATATGATTGATGCATATGTGTACCGATGAATTATAAGAGTTAAAATTTATTATTCAAACTATACAAATTATTTAATTCAGTTGTTTAAAAAATAACTAAAGTTATCCTATTTGGATAATTAGAAAGTATATAATTATAAAACAATTCAATAAAATTTTTTTACCTTCTAGCATCGTATTTCATTTATAAGGAAAATTTTACTCTTTTACTTTATGATAAATTTTCGAAGAGTAACACATTCCTTTCGCAAATGATACAACATCCAGTCGTTTACTCTTGTTAATGCATAAACGTCGAGGTTATAAAATTTTTATAATTTTTGTACATGTTATTTCATTTTTCCTCAAAGTCATTTACAATTAATGTTTACCCTGTAAAATAAATTCCAAATTTTTACCAGTCTAATGTAATCAAATTTTTAATTATATAATTACATTGACATTCCATATATTCAATTATTCGAATGCTTTCGTTGCTAGATTTCAGAAAGATTCTTATATAATAAATCTCTTTAATCCTGAGAAAAATGAAAAATTATTTATTCAATAGCAATATTTGTTTTACTATAAGTCTCAAGTATGAATTTCAAAATAAAATTCGTTCACAATGTCATTATATTCGTGTTAAATGAATGCAAAACATAATTTGACGGCAGTTTCCTTGTTCTACAAAATCAGCTGATGTTATCAGATTTTCAACTTTAGCTGAAAATTTAGGTTAAACTCCAACTCTCACGCAAACTGGAATTCACCATTCACAGTATTGAGCTACTGCACCAAATTAACATATTCAATTTTAACACTCAATATCTGATCGGAAAAGAATTTAATAACAAAACTAAACAAATATTATATATTATAATTAAAATAACGATAATCTTTTTAATTCGTGAAGAAAAATTATATTCACTTCCTCTTATACAGTATATAATTAAGAATTTTCAGAAAATATTACGACGGGTAACAAATTTTACATTAAACTATTCGGTTCGTTCAAATATTAAGAAAAATTATATAAGTTGAAAGAATATTCTATCGACAGTTCTAAAGTACTTTATGTGTTTTAAATAGCGAAAGTTTAATCTCAATGATTTTTTATTTTTAAAGGGAAAAATAGCTGCGAGGAAACATAGGGTACCCTGAAATTGACAGTACAACTGAAAAAAGAATAACAGTAGATTTGGCAGTAGAAAAAATGTGTCGAGCACACATGCACTTGGTTACCTCTTGACTAATTGCAAACACCGGTGGTACAATCGACAGGAAGTTAATCTGTGTCTAAAAATAAGTAAAACGTAAAAGAAAGTTTTTTTATTTAAAGTCCCATTTTTAAAAAAATCGAGTTAACAAGTATACTGTGTCGACAGTAGACCAGATATGTAAGTATGTGAAAGTGTGCTCGAAAAATTTCAAATCGAATTTCGACGAAAACGCAATTCCAAGCGAAAAAACTTGATTGTACATTTTTTACTTATTTTCTCGTATACAGTCGAATCAACGAAGTCCACTTGTACTCGACAAATTTTTCAACTGGTTTCCATCACAAATAAGACCTCAAATGGATAGAATTCATTTTATTCTTTCAACTGATTTTTTAAAATAAAGTTACTCACACTTCTCAGTTACAGCGTTAATTACACCGTGTGAAATATTTAACATCAAATTGATATTTCAAACAAAATTTTACTTACATTTAAAAAAATTCAACTAATTTTTCAACTGAATTTTTTCGACATGGAAGCCTTAAATGTAAAAATTTATTATATGTTTTCCATTTATTTTTTCATTTAGAATAATCCTTTTCCTGGTTACACCACCAATTACTAGATAGTATATAAAAATTTAATAGAATGACGACGTAAATAAAATTGTAGTTAGATTTTGAAAAATTCAACAAATATTTTAATAAAACTTTTTCTACGTGGAAGTTTCAAACGGAAAAGTTTATTCTATGCTTACTTGTTTCTTCACTGTTTTATAGTTACTCCATCAGTTCCAACGTCGTGTAAAAATTGAACACAATAGCATTCGATTTTCTGCAGAATACTGGTACTTGGAAAGCTTGTTATAAGTGTTCCTCAGAATCATGGAACCTCACAAGAAATTCTATAGAAAAATTATAAACTTATTCACAAATTTAATGCCCACGTATATAATTTTCAATAAAAAGCGTGTGTATGCTTATTTTTATTACCAAATGTGCTTTCAGCAGTTTTAATTTTTCGGAAATTTGTCTTGTGACTAAAAGTATTCCATAACTCCGCAATGTTTGGGTGCAATTATTGGACAATTGAGAAATGACTTAACGTCTGGCGCAACAGCACAGGTGCAAGAGGTATCTTTCTAGTTTTATACTTTTGATCAGGGTTTGAAAACAGTTATAATATCGAGTTTTGTTCTTGAAACAGTTACGGATCACCGGGATAAAGTCATAACTGTTATTAGATACATCCGTTCTGTATCGGTTCTATAACTGTTATAATATCGGTTACGAAGAAAACCTTATCCCAAAGTTACCCAAAAACAGTTATAACTTTATGTCGGTTCTTCATAACTGTTTTAATCGAGACCAATATATAACAGTTTCAAACAGTTATCTTCGTAAGCTTTTCGATCCCCGGTTTTGATTGTTTACGTATAACCGTACCGGCGAATAGTAAATGAGCGATCGAAAATATGAATAATTACGAAATAAAACTGGAAAGTTAGACGAGAAAAGATGAAAACTGATTAATGAGCCTCGCATTCCCGAGCCTAGCCGTTAAGTGATTTCCTAGCAGTACATTCATAGCACAATCAAATACAATCATCTTGTGTATTACAGCTACTTTAAAATTCTGTTTCAGTACTGACCAGCTTATTAGTGGTCACGGACGAAGCGCCGCAAGACATCAGACACAAAAACTATGAGGAACATCCACGGGAGGCTTACTTCAATGGCTCGGCTTTCTTAAAGCTGAGTTCGTTCGTCTCGGTGCACAGGCATAGCGGCCTAAGTTTTCGAACATGCGAGGGTGGCCGGCTGTTCATGCAGAAATACAATGACGACTCGATCAGTCTCGAAGTCACCCCGGAGGGGCTCCTCTTCGTCGCCATCGTTGACCAGCAACGTTACAAAGCGAAACTTAACTCCAGGTTACTGAACAACGCCTGGCAGAACGTAAATTTGTTTTTTAGACTGGGGAATCTAACTTTAAATGCGGCCGGTCACACGCAGGTAATTGAAATTATCTAATTTATTGCGATCAGTTCAGTCCATAGGTTCGTTTGTATTGGGTTAATACAACAGTTTTGATGTGTTTTTATAAGAAATAGAAAGAAGAATTTTCAACTGTTCGTTAGCTAAATCAAAATTAAGTAAAAACGAAGAAAGAAGTGTTCTTTACACAGTGGGACCCCGAGTTACGACTTCTCGATTTACGTCGTTTCAGAGTAACGTCGTCTCTATGTAACGCGGTAGTCAATTGGTTTTAACCAATGCTTTTTTCTCTACGTATTTAGTTTCAACTGAATCAGTTTGAAACTTACTTGAGTAAAAAAATTTTATGAGTAAATTATTTTAGATTTATAGATTATACACTGTAAAGAAATATATAGAAAATATATAGAACTTATAGAAATATATTTAAAGTAAACAAAAATACACAAGTGCAACTAATCAAGAGTTGAGATCATTATTTACGTGTGTGTAATGGCATCACAGCGTCAGATGTCCTCATCTTTAAATTACATTCTTAAAAAAAGAAGTACTATAAGTTCAAAAACTAAATTCGAAATACTAAAAATTTAAGTTTATATTTAACGCGTGCAGCATCGTTTTGATGTTCCGCGTCTCGACTGTCGATGTCTCGCCCTTACTTCAATTTCACTTTATCGTATTCTGTTTCATTTGCGATCGTCGTTTACGCGAATCAGCCAATAACAAAAGCAGCCGAGACTAAGGCGTCAACATTCATTGCGAGTGGACGTGTCCCCTTGCCATACTTGCTCCTTCAGCTCGAGGGCCAAGTTAACGAACGTCGTCGTAGGAGGGCAATACTACCTTCTATAAGTACCTTGACTTACGTCCTTTTCAACTTACGTCGTCTACTGTGTAACCAATTAAGACGTAAGTCTGGGGCCTCACTGTAAATGTTATGTTAGTTTGAAAACAAACGTTATTTGTTTCAAAGAAACATTTTTTTGTTAGCCGCGTACAAAAACGCCAAAATGTTTGCATCAACCTAATATTTAACCCTTCAGTGCCTAAATTTTAGAAAATGCTCTACTGAACACACGACAATTAAACTTTAACTCTGCCGGTAAACTGATTACTGTAGTAAAAACAAAGAACGGTTTTTTTTTCAAGCGATATTTATACATCGTTATCTACAGTTTTGTCTACAGACAGCCGTGGGAATTGCCCAGATAGAACGTATATACAGTATTGAAGTAGATTTTATACACGATTCACCTTAAGGTGGACGTGGGAACGAGAGGGTTAACCCTTAAGGATATAATCTCATTGCATTGAACTGAAAAGCATTCATACTTTTTTCTATACAAAATTTCTGAGGTTCAATTTCTTAAAGTCTTCGCCTTGAAAGACTAGAAGCCTTCATTTGAGCTGTTTTGATATTTACGTTTGTCCAAAAGTCTTTTACTAGTCATCAAAGTTGTCAAGCATCAATTGGGATAAAGCATTGAAAAATAAACTATATATTAAATATGTAAAACAAACTTGTAGATAATGAATTAATGAATGACAAAATTCCAAAATTCAGAAAACACAAAAGAACTTTTGGACTGAGCTGATGTATTTGAATTGGCTTTCTTCTATGATGTGATGCGTTTTTCATATCTTTTTAATCTTCTTCGGTTTAGTCGCATTCTCATGTTGTCAAGGATGCCATTGAACTGAAAAATTACTAGAATATGTGCTCTTACTTTCTCAATAATATTTCAAATATATAAGTCAATTTAGAGCAGCTGGAAGGTTTATTTTTGTTTTCATTTCACCTACATTTTCTAACATCTTCAACTATTAAAAGTATATTTTCTAAAACTTTTTAAATTATCCTCTGTATGAGTCAAATTAATATAAGTATCTAAAAAAATCTTCCTATAAATTTTAAACGTGTTTTTCCCAAAATGTGTGTAAAATTTATCGAAAACGATGTAACGCGTTTTTTCGTATCTTTGCACACATCTTTGCGTGTAAGACATCATCCCTTATAATTATATAATTATAATTTGTAAAGATCCTAAGAACAATGATTTTTGGGCGTAAACTTAAAACGCGATTTTAACGTGCTGATATTTTATTATTATTTAGTGTCTTTCACCTAAGCTGAATGATTGCCAACTTCAATTATTACATAATAGGTTCATCGTAGTATTTCTTTTACACCCTCTTTTTATGCAATCATTACTTCTGACACGTATCACAAAAGAACTGTGTTTTAATTCTTTTATATAGAATCTTTAATTTCTCGCGTTATAATTATGGCACATGGAAGGTACAAATGATATATAAAGACCACCTTTTACTAATATGTAAACACTAGCTATATTTGAATTTGTATAAGATATTGAAGAGACAGAGACAAAATTATAACACACTCAAAGTTTATTTTGATTTTCTTTAACATGTCGCGAGATTTAAGGAAGTCAAAGTGGTCAGTTAGTGTTCAGTGCTTTTTGACAATGGTATCTGTCTCATTTCGTGATGGGTCGTGATAAAAGATTGTCTGACAGTGAAGTAAACGCAATTATTATTTTAAGGAAAAGGAAAGTAACGATTACAGAAATTGCGAAAGAAATTAATCGAAGCAGAAAAGCTATATGTAACGTATTAAAAGATGTGAATAACTACGGTAAAAGGAAAAGTACTGGAAAGTCAGCAGCCCTGTCACACCATGACACAACAGCAATACTTCGTGCTGCATCAAATTCTTGTGCTACTGCAAAGGAAATCGCTTGCAAAGCTGATATACATGCTAATATTCAAAATGTTCGACGTGTGCTGTAAATGAATAATATTATAAATCAATCAAAAATAAAAGCCAAGCTACGATTAACAAGTAAGCATAAGGAAGCACGCCTTGAATTTGCGAAGAAACACATACACTGGAGGAAAACCCGGAGGAATGTAATCTTTACAGATGAAAAACGGTTTTGTCTGGATCGTGCATATAATACTGCACATTATTGTCTCGAGATTCGAAAAGGACAATTAACAAAAATTAGACGACAAATGAAAGGAGGTGGAATAATAATTTGGGCCGGCATATGTTACAAAGGGAAAACGGATATTAATTTTATACAAGGAAACATGAATAGTGCAAGTTATATGAGATTAAGTAAGAACTAAATGGATAAGTATGCAGAATGCATTGCAGATACAAAATTTGTGTTCCAGCAAGGTAATGCTGTCATACAAACGGTAAAAATTATTCAGAAATATTTTTCAAAGGAGAAAATTTCTGTTTTGAAATGACCATTCCAAGAAGTATGATAGAAGTAATTGAGAACCACGAAGGTCCCACACATTATTAAACACAGGAACAGTTATGTCATTTTCATATTTGTCTATTTTAAATCTATATAATATGGAATATAAAGAATTCGTTGAAGAAAAGTCAATAAAAGTTATGTTTACATATTAGTGGACGGTAATCATTATGTATCATTTGCACCTTCCCTATGTCATAATTATAACGCGAGAAGTTAAAG